AGGGAACATGAATCAAATATGTATCTTTATTCATTTACAATAAACTCATAAAGTACATCATTCTGATTGAAGCTAAGGGCATACAAAACTGTCTAACAATGGTTACCAATTATCCTTCTTGTGTCTTCACGTATGCTTTATCTCAAATTTTTTTTTGGGTCTATTCTGCTGTGAAGTTCTTTTCTTTTTCTCACAGAATCCCTTAAAGTCATGCTGGTCTGTGGTTCTGACCTACTCGAATCTATTTGCATTCCTGGAGTTTGGATCAGTGAGCAGGTATATTTGCTGGCACAGCATGACCCATTCCTTCTACCACTAATTTTTAGAGAAAAGGAAAGAATGATCTTGGATTCTCTTATGGATGTTCCATGTTTTGTGTACTTTGGTGATTCATTGAGATCCTGGTTCCCCGCATGCAGGTTCTGTTTGTACACCTTTCAATGAAATTGCTGCATACTTTATTTTCTATTAAAAGTACCAAGTAGATTATGGCCTGTCTTATACTTTTCTTACTTGGGTTGGCTAAGAAACCATTGCAAGTGAAGTCAATTCATTTTTCAGGTCAGGACCATCTGCAGAGATTATGGTGTTGTATGCATACGAAGGGAAGGAAAGGACATTGAGAAGATCATCTCTGAGGATGAAATATTGAATGAAAACAAGGTAATAGAAACCTTTGGATGCACCCCATAAACAAATGAACTTTCCATAATTTTTAGGCTGCATGGTGAAGGTGGCAAATCAGCGCATGGATATACAGAGCAGTTTTGTTCATAGAATTTCATACTGCTCAAGAATATATGTCCTTGATCAGTCACTTTGATTGAACAATTGAATAAAACTTTTAATTGATTGGGTGAACTCAAATTATTTTGACTTAGGAATTTTTTCACTGTCAATTTAGTTCTGGAGCTTATCTTTGACCAATCTATTGGGTTTGTCTTGGATGAGAAATTAGACCATCAATGGGTGGGCTTTTTCTTTTCTTTTTATATTTTTGGGTAAAATATGGGTTGGCTTATGCCATAGGAAGGACGACTCTTAAGTTGGTCTCTTTTGCTCTTTCAGGCCAACATTAAAATTGTAGATGAGCATGTACCTAATCAAATCAGTTCAACAAGACTAAGGTACGCATTTTTATGGTATACTGGGAAGAATACATTCCAAATAGTGGGATATTTACCTTTTCTGTTTATTCATTTCAGGGAATGCATATCGAAAGGACTTTCAGTGAAATACCTTACTGCAGATGAAGTGATTGATTATATCAGGCAACAAAATCTGTACTCAAAGTCAAGCGAAGAATGATGGTTTAGGCCTATCAGAGCTGTTCTGTGGAATAGCTTCTCGAGCTTAATATGTATAGACAAAAACTCGTTTTTGCAATTGAGCACACTATCAAGGGTGTCATAAATGTTGGTAAGATCTCTTTGCAATCTAGTAAAATGTATATCTATATACATGTCTGCACATATTATGTGTATAAATACATGCATCAATGATTTAAGCGCCCATAGTTTAACAATGAGTATGGCATTAAACAGAATAGAATGGTGAAACAGGATTCATGTAGCCGGATGACCCCATAGAGGTGGGATAATGCTTGGATGATGATGATGCATACATCCATGAAAAAGTTCATTTATCTTCAGTGTGGCCAGTAGGTTGCTTTTGCAACTTCTTGCTGGGATGAATTAGATTTAAATGGTGCTGTTTGCATTTGAAATTGTGGATTGATGAACATGCATTAGGATGTTATTGTCTTAGCTGATATTTCTCTGCATTGAGATAATGGCAAAGAATTCTTATCGTGTTCTTGTAAGGAAAAATTAGAAACAGCTTTTATCCTCTTCTAATCTGCTTCCTGAATGCCAATAAAGGCTTTGGCTTATTACTAAAACACCCTTCTCCAACTTTATGCAAACGGCTGAATATGATACTGGAAAGACATTATCGGAAAAATTTGTGACCAATCAACTGGTATCATAAATGTGTTAACCAATCAGGTGGAACTTATCAAAATTCACGGGTGGATTTTGATTGATCAAAACTCTTGTATAATATCTTTTTGGCATTATATATTTTTCTCATGGTTTTCAAAACTGGACTGGACTGGAAAAACCGGGAACCGGTCACCTGACCGGTTCCGTTTTACCCCAGAACTGTTTTTTGGCCAAAAACTGTTTATTTGGTCAGCAAACCACTGACTTGGGCGGTCGAACTGTCCAACGATTTTGGCTGTTTTTATTTTTTTGTCAGAATAGACCGTCTATTTGGTTTGAACGGTTGGACCGTTCACCTAGGAACTAGATCCTGAACGGTTTGTTGTCCGGTTCAGTTTTAAAAACCTTGATTTTCTTATGCAAAGGGTTTGAAAGACATAATATCTGAAAAATATGTAACCAATAAACTGGTATCATAAACATGATAACCAATCATAGGGAATTCATTTACTAGATAATAATAACATCAACCCATCGTTCATAAGCCCACAAATTTACCAGTGGGTTCAACTCGAGGTAGGTCCCTTATGACTTATATATGAACCATGACTCCTTAACCTGACTTGCTCCGGGTTTTTGTAGAGAATCCACATCTCCTGAATTGGACGGCTAGTCTCACGAAACCTGAACAAATCCCTTCCCCTAAAGCAACAGGAGCAGTTGTCACCAGGGGTGCTCGTGAAAAACTGAAAAACCAAACTGCAGTTAATCGAATCAATCGGTTGGGTACTTCTGAAAAATTAAAGGATGGGTTTGGTTTTTGATTAATCTAAAAAAATTTGATAGTTAACTGGTGGTATCGATTTGGTTTTGGTTTAGAGATATGAAAAAACTGGTAGGACCGGTTCGATTTTTAAAAAATCCTCATGATTCAGTTAATCAACCCGTGAACACCCCTAGTTGTCACCCACACATGGAGCCAAGGAGCAATGACCATTACACTTTTAAGCTAATGGTGTTTTTTTGTAAGTTTTAGAGTATGTTTTGGAGAGCTCCTATGGTGATTGAACTGTGGTGACAGGGCCACTTTTCAGAAGTTACTTCTGATAACTTTACCCGAAAGCCCTTGGAACACTTGCGCCACATTTGGGAGTGCTTAAGTTAAAAATAAGTATTTCAAAATAAGTGTTTATTTGAATAATCAGTTATTTACATTTGACATCCAATTTTTCAAGTGCTTATTTTAAAAAGTAGGACAAATTTTTTAAATTATCGCTACTGTTTGCAAAATTGACTAACTATACCCTTGATGTTTACGTTTTATCTTAAAAATACTCTTACTATTTCTAAAAATTGACATCACCCTTTAATACTAACGGCAAATATCCAATTTGCCCTTTGAAGACCCCCCTGACGTGCGCCCAGATACGCCGATCTGGTCACCAAGTTTACAAAAGAGTGATGAGCAGTTCCGATGATAATTTTACGAATTCAAACAATAACTAATAGGAAAAAAAAAGGCTATTCAACATTTGATTCCTCTTTTATCCCCTGCCTGATTGCCTTGCTCTCTCTTTCCTTCAATTGCTCCCCCACTCCACCTCTCCCTCTCGTCTTGTCTGTATAGAAGCTTTCATCTTTTTTTTTGTGTGATTAACTCCCCCTCTTCCTCTCGTCTCGTCTATACAGAAGCTTTCATTTTTTTTGTGCGATTAACTCCCCCTCTTCCTCTCGTCTCGTCTGTTTCTATCCGCCTTATCAACCCATCTGTATGGCTGCTCCATGGTAAGATTTGAGAAATGGTAGAAGCCAATTTAGCGATCAGTAAGAATTATAAAACCAAAAAGTGCTTCATTTTAGATAGAAAGCCTCGGTGTCCTCCATTGTTGCTTAGGGGGTGGCCAGTCAGTGCTCTGGCAGACATGGGAGAGGGATAATAAGCTTCGGAACTTAGGATTAATGACAGTGATGGGTAATTGGACCTGGACAACAACGAAGAAGGAGATGGTAGTACCAGTACTCGTCGTCCTCCATTGTTGCTCAGGCGGTGACCAGTTGGTGCTCTCACGGGCTCACCTTACTGAGTTGTCTTCAATTTCATCGGTACTCTGGCGGGTTCACCTTACCTGGTTGTCTTCGATTTCAGTGGAAGAAGAAGAAGAACAAGAGGTGGGAATGAAATGTTGGAAAGCGGTGCTGCTGTTGCGCTACTGGTACAGGGAAGTCATTAAATGGCGCCCATAGGCAAGTCATGAAATGTTGGAAAGCTGTCCTCGAGTTGCTCTTAACAAAATCCGTGTCAAGCACACGATACACCACTGAGATGGCCCACAGTATCAACTCTCAGCTAAATGACCAAAGAAAGCAAGCGGCTTTAGCAGACTATGTAGAGCTGATGGACTGTCCATCGATCGTTTAACCGACTCTGTCCACGCTCTAGCTGAACAGACCGCCCGATTTCTTTTGAGTGGCTGCTCCGGCAAGTGCAGAGAGAACTTATATCCCACTGTATGGTTTGTGAATGACGAATATCTTGTCAGCATTTTCGTATTGGTGGCGATGGAGGTGATCTGAGTTCATGGTAGATCTAGTAAAAATGATTTGCTTTAATTGAAACAAGGGTTCAACTTTTGTCAAAGGAGGGTAGCGGCGGATGGAGTAGAGGAGGGCAGATCCGCAATTTAACTTTGAAATAAGGGTTCTTCCTTCTTTGTGCCATAAACGCTCATGACCCAGAGCCCGTTCTTGATCATCACACTGGGAGGTCATTGAGGCTTCTGTTGAACTGACTTCCGGGAGGTCATTGAACAATAAGAGTATTTTAGAAATTTTAAAATAATTACCATTCACGTGGTCATATGTAAATGAAATGTGATAGAAAATTAATGTAAGGAAGGTTTTAGACAATTGTAAGAACACTTAAGGGTACTTTGTGATAATAGCTAAACAGTAAGGGTGGAGTTAGTCAAATAGTTAAACAGTAGGGGTAGTTTAAGGAAATTGCCCTGTTTTATATTAGGCATTTGATAATATTTTGTTCTCTGATAAGCATTTAAATAAGCATTTGTGATTATTTTATACTTCATTTTACGGAAGTATTTTTATTAAATTAGTTTTATAAAAACACTTTTATGAAAGTACTTTTATAAAAGTACTTTTATGAAAGCATTTTTATAAAAAAGTACTTTTATGAAAACATTTTCATAAAAAAAACATTTTGATGAAAGCACTTTTATAAATTATAATATGAAAGTGCTTTTATGGAGCACTTATAAAAGTACTTTTACAAAACTATTTTTATAAAATTCAAATAAGGATAATTTTAAAAGAAAATTTTGAGTAAGTGATTATTATATAAACATTTAAAAAAGCTGGAAATTTAGATTTAAAAAATAAATCCTTGTTTTTAAAATAAACACTTGTTTTGAACTTATTTCCTTAATACCAATAAATGCTTAATGCCCTAAATAAACACTTATTTTAAATAAACATTTATTTTTAGTCTCCCAAACATGGCCTAGTTCGTAACTGTGGGAACCTTGATCCTGCATAAATGTTAATGAGCCGAACGCATAGTAAAGCTTACGCCATTTCAAATAGTGTTGGAATGCAGACCTAAAAGTTTGTCGGCCTTCCATTTCATGGGCGACTCTCTCGCGCTTGCGTGTTCAACCCTGACATGAACTTCGAAATAAGAGACAAGTGCACTTTCTCCTCATCTTCTTGGATGGTATATTGTGATTTTCCTATATGCTATTTCGGAGATTTATTAGTTCTAAAAAGGAAAAAGAAAATGCTTCATTGATGCATATCACCATTGACATTTGATCAAATGTTTGTTAGATGATAACTGACTGATTTGGATGCGTCAAAAATACACAATATTGAGACTAAAACTGAAGACTTCGTTATCAAAAGTATTCATAAATTATACGGTACTTGCATGAACCGTCTCAAGTATGGTTTAAAACTGATATTTTAGAGAATATTTCTGCGTATTAATTAAGCTTTATGGCATGTGGAGGGCCTCATATTCTTTTTTTTTTCATTATAAATTTGTATATTAAGACTGTTCATTTTTTGAAAAATTATTTATTCTAATAAATACATTTATCTAGATAAGTATTTCTAGGAAATACTTATTTGGGCAAATTCATTTATTAATGTTCTTTTAGTTCTCAGTAAATAAGATATTAACCATTTTAACCATAAAAATTCATTATTAAAAGGGACAATTTTGTCCCATCCAAGTATTAATAACTTTGCCCTCTTGGGAGATGGATATCACTTATCCGGGTAAGTGATACTTAGAAAAAATAAAATTTTCATGAATCCCACATAAATCTAAGAAAAACATAAGTATCTTGATCAATGGGAACCAAAACCCAATTGACCAACTTTCTGCCCTTTCAAAATCCAAAAAATCAAGGGAGCTAAATCATAGATATCCATTTTAAAAAGGTGTATAGAATCTAAATTTTAAAGAGAAAAAGGGAATAAAAGACATTACATGTGCTATTTATTTGAAGGGCAAAATTGTATGATAACATGAAAAAAAAAAAAACAATTATTATACTATACTAATAAATAATGTGGTATGTTGTTTGTGAATTTCATAAATGGTAAAATATATTAAAAAACAAATAATTATATTATTAAATTGGATGGAGAAAGTTGTCTTTAGAAATCAGGACCACTGACTCTGGTGACTACTGTCATAGTGTAGATGGGATCTAGTCCCAACCGTCATTACAGCTGTACATTGGGAGGGCAAGGGAAGGGAGATGTTCCCAATGCACGACTGCTGATTTTCTAAGGCTGTTGTGACTGATAGTTGGGACCTAAATGAGTGGTCAATCTAGATTGTACATCTCAAAGAAAACCTTCTTGATTCTTGATTGGCCATGTTTCCGTTCCTTCACGAATTGGGATCTGTTACTCACATAGTGTGCCTCACACTTAGACTTGTTCATGGGCTGGTGGCCCGACGGGCTGGTTCGGCCCAGCCCGGCTCCCGGACGGGCTTGAACAGGTTTTTTGGCCCGTGGGCTTAAGTTCGGGCCAAAAAACCCAGCCTGCATAAAATTCGAGCTGGGTTTAGGCTTTGCCAAAATAGCCCGACCCGAGCCCGACCCGAGCCCGGCCCGGCCCGACCTAATATTAAACTTAAAATGAGTTATGTGATTTATGTCCATTTGAATAAATTTTTTGATTTAATAATGTAAAATTGTGTTTTAAAATATAAAAGAAAGGGAAAAAATACCATATTGTAGGCACATTGTTCATTTAAATAGAAAAAAAAAGTACTATATGAATTTTTAATTCTAATTTGAATAGGAAAAATTGTTTTTTTTTTTCAATTAGGTCGGGCTTCGGGCTTTTTATCAGGGCCAGGCTCGGGCTCAAGTTGTAGGCCCGTTGGTCGGGCCGGGCTCGGGCCTAGTATATTTTTATTAGTGATAAGTGAAAGCCCGACCCGAGCCCGACCCAGCCCGGCCCATGAACATGTCTACTCACACTGATCTTACAACTTCATCCTATCATGTATGAAGAACATTTTCCCATGAATAATAAATATAAATATAAGAGATATTCTCGATATATGACCAAGACATACTGCGAGATCAGTGTGAGACGCATTCTGTGAGGAGCAGATCCGGACCCATCTCCCAGACTCCTATTGCAGTTTTCTTGTCCAAAATATATCTATGGAAAATGGTTATATGGAACATGTGGGAAGGTCTATTCTGATTGACATATTTATATATTTTGTGATTATATATATGTTATATATATAACATTTACACAAATCATATAATATAATATTATTATATTAGTTTAAAACAGTTAATTAATTTGCACTAAAAAACAATCAATTAATTTAAGTAATTGCGAAAAAAAAAATTCTTTGCTGAGAAAGTTCATTATAGTTATTGTATGTTTAAAAGATAATTCTTGCCTCTTTTTCTCATTTTTTTTCTATTTCCCTTTTCCTCCAACATTTGTTAATTATAACCCTTTTCAACCGTCCAATCCTGCTCAAATTTTGGGCTACATTTGACATAATACATAATTATTTGAACAAATATAAGCAGGCTATTATCATTTTATAGTGACTCTCAGCTTATTGTTCTAAAAACAATAAGAGAGGCTTAACTGCATGAATCAAACCTGGATAGTACATAGTTTTTTTAGCTGCAACCTGTAAGTCTTTTTTAAAAGTTATTTATAATCTATACCAACTTATGAAATATCTATTTATATGTTTATTAGGATGTTGTTTGGTCTGGTTGTCAATTATTGAAAAATGGCACCAGTGCCACATTGGTGTTTCTTCTTAAATGGTGTTTGGTTAAATTGTTTATTAAATAAATATATGTCTTGGTTTGTGTGAGCCGGCTGTTGGGAAGTTTTTTTTTTCAATATTTCCCCCAACATAAAGCATTTTTTCACTATTCGGCTTATGTGGTGCCTAATGGCATCTAACTGTCAAATAATATTAAAAATGTTTTTTAATTATTTTTTTTTCATTTTTCAAGATAAATAAAATATAAAATGTTTATTAAATAAATGATAACGAAACCAAACAACCCCAAAATGTTAGTTAAGACATATACATGTGCCATGTGCAAAGCACGTGAATATACTCAATAATCAATACGTAAAAATAGGTGCTTATTTAATAAGCACTTATTTTGGACTGGGAAGTAAGTGCTTATTTTGAGAAGCCCAAATTTTGGACTTTTTTTTAACTTATTTTTAAGTGTTTATTCAATAAAAATCGATGAGGGTGGATTTGGCCCTCCAATGATATTGTGACACATGCCACCTCGCAACAAATAGGTGACACTCGGAATCACTTTGGCAACAACTTGCCTTAGTCAACTTGATGGTGTCCCACCTGGCGGCCTGGCCTAGGCGTGACCTGATGGCCTGGCCCAAGCGCGAACTGGCGGCCTAGCATAGGCACAAACTGGCGGCCTAGCCCAGGCGCCGACCTAGCGGCCTGGCCCAGGTGCGAACTGGCGGCCTGGCATAGGCGCCAACTTGGCGACCTACAAGACGTGATCGCCAATAAATTCGGCATGCATATCCAAACACTCCCACGATCATTGGAAGTTGGCCCACGTGCCGAACGATTCGGAGGGTGGTCAACGTGCATGGCGGTTACCTTAGGGAATCTCAGACCACTTAGATGACTTCTTGGAAATATCGGATGTGGTGCGTGAAGCCCACGCCAAACAATGCCTATATAAAGGCACCAACCCCAATGACATGAGGGGGCAAGTAAGCATATTCTAGCTCTCATACTTTGTGATTTTTAGCTCGCAGTCTACTATGATTTTTAGCTCGCACTCCAGGTCCTCTGACATTGATTCCTTGCAGGTCTCTAAAGAACTACGAAGCTCAACAACCAATCCATTTCGCCACCAGGCAGCTCGGCCCTCTAGTCAGCTTGTTACCTAACCTACCTAGCTCGGCCCAGTCAGCTCGTCACATAACCTGCCTAGCTCGGCCCAGTCAGTTCGGCACCTAACCTGCCCAGCTCGGCCCAGCTAACTCGGTACCTAATCTGCCCCCAGCTTGGCATCCAGGTCCTCATCCAGCAAAAGTTCACTTTGGCTTCTGAGTCATCGGCCACTTGGAAGCAGACCAAATGACGAGGTACTTAACACCAAAAATTGATACTTAACCCAAAAAATTGATTCATAAAAAATTTTAGACTTATTTTCAGGTATTTATTCAATAAGTACTTATTTCCTTTCTGGCCTATATTAACCTGCCACATCATTTTGAAAATACCTATACTATTACTATCCATATTTAAATAAGTGTTTTTTCACTAAATGCTTAGAATAGAATAATCACTTTGTTTTTAAAAAATTATTTAATAAGCACTCTCAAACTCGGCCTAAATAATAATAACAGTATTTTATTGGCATAAATATACTTAGAGGCAAGGTTTTTAAAATCTAACCGGACAACACAAATCATTCAGGGGACAGCCCGTTCTGGCAAAAAAATAAAAATGATCAAAAACCGTTGAACCCGGTTCGTGACCAGTTTCCTTTTTCTAGTCCAACCGTCCAGTCCGGGTTTGAAAACCATGCTTACAGGTTACAAACGGGCAGCTTGTCCAAATATATTTTAATTAAAAATAAAAATGAAATGTCTTTTCACCTTGTAGATTTTTATCCTTTTTTATTTTTATTTATACACTACGTTCATGGCACCTGCCTATAGATATAGGGCAGAAATCTCGTTTATACTAGCTCCTGATGATATGTATGCAAAAAAATATCAAAAATTGTGTTTGAGAGATGAGGAGTGAGGACTCAACTCACAGGGATTGGCCCAGCACTTGATATAAATTGGCCTTTCGATTGGTATAAGCAAATTACGAAATTTGCCAGTAATTCGATGAACATATATACCGTATAACATATGTATCAGTATTCAGTACGGGGAATACCTTTCTCGGCCTTTTGGCTATGATCAAGTATATATATATTCAGTACGAGGCTATTCCCTATAATATTCAAACAAATGAAATGCATAAATAAACACACTTGATCATCATCACCTCCCTTTGGAAACACTAACTACATTTCCAGACTTTCTTTCCATACACTGAGAAGAGAAGATGTTAAAAAGCAAAACCAGAAACCATTAATCCTTCCCATCTCTTACTACAGTAGATAAGCAGAGGAAACCTAAATGCCCAAACAGAGAAAGAGAGAGAGAGAGAAACAGAGAAAAAGAGAAAGAAGCACGTACGTCGGCCTAGCTCCTTATCTTCATAGTTACGTTCTTTAATCAGACCATACTAACAACAGGAAATCCATCTCTCCTCGCCACGTCATTAGTGTATATACCACCAATCTATATATACGCTTATAAGTTGGTTGCTGGGACGAGAGTGCGGAGGTGCAGTCATTTGTATTGGGCGTAAGGATCAAAGCTAGCCATTGCAGCTTGGGATGAGCTAGCGCTGGATCCGACGTCCCTGAAGAATCCTCCGATGGGTGCTCCGAAGAGTCCCTGGTGGTGGCTCATGTGAAACGCAGGTGCAAAAGCCGCCACCCCAAGCGCACCCAGGTCCATAGTCCTCTTCACCAATGGCTCTCCTCGTATGGAGCCCCGCTCACCCTCAAGCTCGCGGTAGCGCTGGAGGTACACCGTTAGCGGTTCGATGTAGTCGTCGAACCCCAGCTTGCTCATGGCCCAGAGCACGTCCTCCGCAGTTATGGTCTTGCGCTGCTCGCGCTGGCACCGGTCGTTCGCTTCGCTGGTGATGAAGCTGATGTACTCGGACACACACTCCTGGATTGTCTCCTTGGCGTCATCGGAGATCTTCGCGTGGGTTGGGAGGACCTTGCGCATGATACGGATCACGTTGGCGATGGGCATGAATCGGTCCTGCTCGCGGACCGTACACGCGGTGTCTCGCTCTGAGGTTTCGTCTCCTCCGGTCGACTGTCCCTGTCCGTTGGAGGTGTTGCTGATGTTCGACAACATCATTCCTGTCATTAATTAATTGATACAGAATTCATTAAATGTAATAGAAGGCAAGCTCACAATCATGTTTTCTTCCCCATCAACAACTACAGCAACAACAACAAAAAGTACAGAAACAAAGCTTACCAAAGAAAGTACAGAAACAAGGAATAACGAAAAACGAACTAAGAGACATGAAGGACGTCTGGTGGTCAGCTCAGATGGCGAAGATCAATTACCTATGTGATGATAATTCATAGCTGACCATGGCCAGTCGATTTTTTCTTCTATGAAATGATAAAAGTACAGATGAACCAGGCGTTACATGAGAATCTGGAGCCCCGCATGCAGAGAAAGTTTCACAACTTTTTATTAAATGCTTTCAGAAGAAAGTCTGCTTCTTTCTTCTCTAACCCCTTTCCGGCTTCCGCAACAGAAAGCAATTGCCGTTTTAGTTAATCCACGTAAGTGGTAAGGCAAGGAAAAGGATGCGCATTAAGCACTGGGCGCATTATATCGAGCAGACAAATTTAATTTAATTAACTAGTTAACTAAAAGTAAAGTAAAAAAAAAAAAAAAAAAAAAACTAGAAGAGGTTTAATGGTTTATGGTTGCTTTGCTGAATAAACAATAAAAAATTAAAAGAAAACGACAAGTCAAAACGTCAAAAGGAAACAAAAACGAACCGTTGCAGCTGTTCTCAACTTTATACATTCATAAATCATAACACCACGCGAGCGATAAATCGAGATTCTAAAAACTCGGGAACCAGAGGCTAACGGAAACGGAACGGCGACACGGAAATGGGAACAGAAGAGAAAAGAAAAGAAAAGAAAACCCTAGGACATGTACTTGGTTGGAGTACAAGAGAAGATATTCATCTCTGACTCTTGTCTGTGTCACTGTCTGCGTAGTGTGTGTGTGTGTCTATCTTAATCTTTGAAGGTCTCAACAGACATGAATAGTGACGGGGGGCCCAGGGCAGCGTTCAAACGGTCCAGATATGAAGCCCAGAAATCCTACTGCTGCCTGCTTTTGGAAGGGAGCTAAGATAGGAAACGTCGAATGGTGAGGCATCCCTGCATGGTTGCCACGTGTTCCGCCTGGTGATTATAGTATGAAAAGCTAACCACAGTCTCTAATGTTTGCAACTCTGTCCCACAACTCAGATTATAAATGAATGTGTATGTGGGGAGGTTGGACTTTGGAGTTCACACATACAGCAGATACAGCCCTTTGCAAATTGCAAATTGCTAGCCCCGAAATTTATTTATTTACTTTTTTGATTTTTCGGTGGAAGAAAAATTGTTGCAAAGAAAATAAACACTATTACATTTACATACATTGGGTCATATAAATATGCAGCCTCTGCAGGCTGCAGGCTGCATGCTGCACGCTGCAGCTATCGAAGTAAGTCATCAGATCAAAATATTAAACCTATTAAGTAGATCGTCACCCAAAACAGATGTGGATCGGGAAAGAAAGAGCGATCGATGTTAAACAACGTCTGCGGATTAGTAGAATGACTCGGTACTGATCGAGTGGTGAGGAAATAGGGAGAGAGCTAGCTAAAGATGCAGAGACCCATGATCGAAAGAAGCTTTTTTTTTTTTTTTTGAGTACAAACGCATCACGCATGCATCTCTTTCGATCAGTAAAAAGGAAAATGAGGAGGAGGGAAGACGAATATTTTCGATGTTCATGGTAGAAATCCGTCGGTGAGAGAAAAGGTGGATATAAGCACGGATCGAAGAAAGAAAACCAGACTGAAAAGCAAAGAACATGCATGGAGAAAACCCTAGATTATCAAAGGTTTAAAAAGAGAGAAACCCCCTAAAAAGTGAAAACTCCATAGGACTAGAGAGACATGGAGGTTCAAGTATGAGCTTCTTGGGAGGCACAGAGATGGCTGAAATGGACGATACGTTTGCATGCAAGAGGAAAACTCATCAAACAGATAAGAAATGCAAAATCAGTGTGACTGACAAGTAAATCGGAGGCGAAGAAATGATATTTCCAGCCTACCTAAAATGGGTTACTGCATAAAATAAATCAATGGTGAGAAGCTATGATACAAAAGGAAGCTTAAAAATCCCATATATAAAGAGAAGACAGAAATTAAAAAAACAAAAGGTGAGAGAAAGAGACGTAAACGGATAGTTGATGATATATAGTTTCATTCCATCTTTATATTTCTTGTGTTTTTTATACTTTACCGGAGCTTGATTTTGGGTGCTGCCTCTGGTAGCCATGGAAACCTCCACGTTCCATCTCTTCTCTCTAAAACCTTCTGCCTCTAAATCTCTCTCTCTCTCTCTCTCTCTCTCCCTCTCCAATTTGGTGAGAAGCTAGTCGGGCAAGTGTCTCTATTTATATTGATCAAAAGCGTTATCCACGTGGCAAACAGACGTTGTTAACGAGGAATACAGAATCCCCAGTAGAGACGTCCTTCACGCCTTCATGGTTGGATAACACCGTGTGCTCTTACCGGCAGCCACAGGTATATCTGGGTCCCCATTGTTTAATTTCCAAAATGGACTAATTGATCATCTCTAGCTAGAGCTAGGTTATATATGGACGACTGATTTATGTTTTTTTCTTTCCTTGAATAACATTTATGTTTAATTAAATGAACACAACCTTGCTCCCAAAACACTTTGGTTTTTTAATTACAAGAATGGCCTCACAATTTAGGGTTCAATTAATTAAAGATGTAGTTATTGGGCAAATGTAGATACAGTTCAAATACATTTATATAAGCGAAATTGTCTAAAATTCACTATGATTTTTTATCATTTTTTAAATTCACCACAATTTTTCAAAACGTTGAAAATTCATCATGTTAGTAAGTTTTTATTTTTTAAAACTCACATTCTGTTAGTACACCGTTAATGTTTCTTAACAGAGGTATCCACATCAGCATAAATAACAATTTTTATGACCAAATCGCCCTTGAATGGTGAATTAGAGGAAAAAGGTCTTTTTCATTTTTCAATTTTCATTTTGTTTACATTTTTAGTGTTTTGTTATAATTTCTAATGTTTTTATAATTTCTGTTTTTTATATTTTTCTATTTTCTACCATCTATAAAATTTCCTGAATTTTTTGTTATTTATTTTCAATTTCTGTGTTTTTCTATAATTTTTGGTGTTTTTTCTACAATTTTTATTTTTTGATTTTGTTTTTCAATTTCTATAGTTTCTATAATTTGAAAATAATTTTTTATTTTGTGTGCAATTTCTATAATTTTTTATATTTTTTGTAATTTCTGTGTTTTTATATGTATTTTATATTTGAAAATATTTTTTGAAAATTTTCCTTTTTTCATGTCTAAATATTAAAATATATGTATATATTTTATATTTTTCTATGAAAGTTAAAATGGTAATATATTAACATCCATTAGTCTCTTTAACGTCAAGTTAGTGACATGGTGAGTTTTAGACATTTTGAAAAGTTGTGGTGAGTTTAAGAGAAGTGCTGAAAACTCATGGTGAGCTTTTTGACAATTTCCCTTTATATAATAAACTAAAGTAGTTCCCCTAATTACCAATGCAGTGAAACCCTAAAAAAATTTTGCATTTTTGCATTATATTAAGCTAAGTTTTAGAATCATTCTTCCACAAAATACAGTAGCAAATTAACAGCCTTGGTTGCAGTGAAAATTTATTTGATTAGTACAAATGTATGAGAATAGTGCAAAATGTAAATTCTTGTTTAATTTTGTTTTGAATTTTACTTTATTCTGCTTCATGTCTTAATTTGAAACAATAATAAGTCAAATTTAAGCAAGAATTTGAAACAAAAATAGGTCAAAATTTACACTCAAATCATTTGCACTACCATAGTTTTTCATTAGTACAAATTTATTTATATTGCAATCAAACACAGCCTAAGTTGCTATTCTTGGCCACCACTAAAATATATGTCGTCAAAAAGCCTGAAAAACCTTAGTTGTAATCTTAAATGACATTAATTACTCATTACTAGTTTAAAAAATTCAATTTGACTGTTCTCTATATAAATAAATAAAAGAATCCCTTTTATTTTGAAAAAAAACACTATTTCAATTTCTAGCTTGTATAAAATAAAAGTTAATTGATTTATCTTCTTAGACAAATTTATTGTAAATTATTTGAAAAAATATGATAATTAATAGAGAAAAAGGAGGAGAAGGCTGAGTCATTATGGAGAATATTATGGTGAATGGAGGACAATAAATGGATCATTTTCCAGATTTAAGTTTTTTATAAACTCCCATTTGGACCATAAGATCTGACTAATTATGATTGTATATTTGGCTGGATTCACCTAACTTGAATTTTGACACGCGGCTAAGCACCTTGCAGGGATTGGTTTGCATTGTTAGGTAGTAGGATTAATTTGGCTATCTTAATGCTCCATATGGTTTTTTTATAGAAAAAAAGTGGTTAAAGGGTAGAATTGAGAATGTCTTGATGCAGGTAAGGTAAAATCTCAATCAAAGGTCTGAAATTCCTTAGAAAAAAATGGGAAATATAAGACAAAGTGATGGTTTAAGGTTTTAACTCTGATACTTTTAAAGCTTATTTAGATTTTATTAGGGTAAGAGTTTTTTATGTCTGAAATTTGATTAAACTATCAATTTGGAGGTTTGTTGTTGTTGATCACGGCAATGATTTCTGTTCTTTTTCTATTTAAACACGAGTATGAAGGGTATTCTTGTCATTGTAATGGTTTTAAAATGTTAAAAGAATTAGAGAGAAATACTCAGGTGCATATTAGTTTTGAACTTTGGGCTGTGAAAAGCAAATTGGAGACCCGGACCTGGTAGGCACACTCAGTGAACACACTAGTAAACACATAATAATTTTGCTGACACCTATCCCGCAAATGTGTTTAAAATGGGCTGGAAGGTATTTAAGAAACAGCTGTCAATTTTCTGTGTATGTGCTTACTCAGTGTGTTCTTTGAGTGTGCCTATCATATTAGATCTGGAACTCAATCAGATTGAGAAAAAAAAAAAAAAAAGTTTTAGACATTTG